ATTATTCCCCAAACTTGTACAGCCATTTTGGAGATCAGTAGGCGGTTCCTCAGGAATATGCGAATCACTCTCCCAAACTTTTTAAAGAGAAGAAAGAGAAACGTCCCGTGAGGGAACTGTAATGTGATGTGACCTGTGTAGTCTGTGGTTCTTTTTATCCCCCCACTCTGCTCATCAACAGGATGCTCTGGGCTAGAACATGGAAAGAAATACAGTCTACCAATGGTGATGATCTTCAACCTGGTAGGGAAGCTGTCTCCTGGCCACCCACAACCCACAACCAGGAGGCTGCAGCAGTGTAGTGTGAGGAGGTGGAGGGCAAGGAATAGTCCCCAGCTGCTATGGCTTTGGATATACAATGTAACCAAAAAAGGAAATGGTGCCACCTACAGTGAGCTGGGTCTTCCCACATCAATTAACTTATTAAGACAATCCCTATGGACATGGCCATAGGTCAACTCAATGAAGACAATCCCTCCTCCAGGATCATCTTCAGGTTATTTAGGGTTGTGTGGAGCTGATGATTAAATCTAACCATCAAGGAGAGGTTCTACAAACTTCAGGAGGTAGGACCTGGCTAACATAAACAGGTCACTGGAGGCAGGTCCTTAGTGGTTAATCATCCCTAGTTCTTTTTTGTTACACTCCATGCTTCCTGAACACTGTGATATTAACTGCTCTGTTCTGCATGGCATGATGATCTTCCATTTGAAACCATGAGCTCAAATGACTCTTTCCTCTTTCAAGTTAGCTTCTAAATGCATTGTGCTCTCAGAAACAAACAAACAAAAAAGTAATATACCAACCCGGCCAGATCATAGACAATACAGTAACGACTATTAGTGTCCAGGGTACCAAGTCCATGTTCCATACCACCTGTCTCCTAGGGATGTGTGAGTGGACCTACCCAGGAGAACTTCCACATCAGGCAGCCCACAAAAGGAGTAGTTGCACAATAGCTCTAAAATTTGTCTTCCCCTATATCCAATCTGCAGCCTGGTGAACCAGCTAGTGTTCAGACCCTGCCTGTCTGCTCTAAACCCAGAACACATCTTCACTGTCTTGCCCAGAGCCCTGGGATGCTTGCAATAAAGCAGGAAGAGTCATAGCTCAGTGTTCACCTTGGCAAAATAAATAAATAAATAAAAAGAATGAATCTTCCATCAGAAAAATAAATGGCCCTTCTGCAGCCCGAGAGTCTGGATTACCATCCTGAAGGACAAACACATCATCTTCACCAGTCAGCCTTGGGTCATAAAGCACCAGTTTCTCTCAACCAGGGACCCCCTACCTGCACTTGGAGGGTAGTTACAACTCCTGCCAGCTCCTGTAGCCACTAAAAAGGTACACTCAGGTCCAGTTCAGGATGCCCAGGCCTGGTTTAAACAGCAGTACACTTGTTTGTTTTATAGCCTGCCCAAGAATGGGGAGGGCATCTCAGCAAGGAGCCTATATAGGAGGCAGCAGGGAAGAAGGGCTCAAATCCCAGCCAGCAGCCTTCAGAGCCATAAAGAGTTGCTGTAGCAGAGCCCAGATTAACTGCAAGGAAGTTTCTGCCTGCTGTAAACCCCCTAGAAGTCATCGTCTAATTATTAAGGGAATAGTTATGAGGAAGAAAGGCGAACCAGACCCCTGGAGGTGGGGATAAAAGCTGTGAGCTGCACAGTGTTGGTGCTCACAAAGTTGAAGCCACAGATGACTTCCAAAGTTCACCAGAGTAATAATCACAAAGGCTTCAAAGGTCACCCAAAGTTGAAGCTGGGGACATAGCTCAGTCATGGAAGTGCTTGTTTTAGAAGCATGACAATCTGATGTTGATCTCGGAATCAAAAAAGGAGGAGGAGGAGGAAGGAGGAAGAGGAGGAAGAGGAAGGAGGAGGAGGAAGAGGAGAAGGAAATAGAGTGTGGTGGCATGTAGTGGGGAAGGAGGCAGATACCCTGGCACTTTCTGGCAGGCCAGCCAACCTACTTGAGACCCCCATCTCAAGTAAACAAGGCAGCTATACCCTGAGCAGTAGCACTTAAGGTTGTTTTCTGGCTTCTATGTGCACATGCACACACATGCAGGAATACCCCCAAAATGCACATGCTCCTACACCACACACACACACACACACACACACACACACACACACACACACACAATTATGGAAAGTTAAACCCTTTGTTTAGACAGCTATATAACTATGGCTGGAGAGCATTTTCTGGTCTTGTAGAGGACTCAAGTTAGTTTTCAGCACAAAAACCTGGGTGGCTCACAACCTGTACCTCCAGCTCTGGGGATCTGGCGCCCTCTTCTGGCCTCCACATGCACCTCCACACATGAATATATATATATATATACACACAGGCACAGACACGCATACGAGGACATAATGGGGGGGAGCATTAATCTTTTAAAATTTAAGGTGAAATACACTGACACATGTATATATTCACAGCTACTAGACAGGCGGCAACAGCTTCTACCAAATGTGGTAAAAAAAAAAAAAAAATCAACACTCTCCATTCTCTGTGCAAAGCCTTCACGTAAATTGCTGAACATGCACCTCTAGTTAAGTGGATTTTTCATCAAACCAATACATCTGCTTCTGCCTCCATCTATTAACCAAGAATTAGTTGTGTTTGTATACTTGCAATAATTACAGTTAATTAAATACAACATAAACCAATGAGATGGTGAACATGAACAGAGATGAACACAGTTGTTGGGTCTACTAAAACCTAGTCAAATAATTACATCCAAAGGTAGTTACAAAACAAAAGCTTGTTAAGTACCAGTGAATTAACTGTAAGAAGGGGGGCAGGGTAGGGGAACAGAACACCTCTAATGAGTCATATACACTCGGGCTCCTTTACAACTACTTTTATTTTATAAAACAAAATAAAAATTTTAATGTAACAAAAGAAAAGGGGAGAAAAATTTAAAGAATGGGCTGTTGGGGAGCATTTTATAGTCAAATCACCACAGGATCCTACAAAAATGAAAGCAAAAATCCCCCAGACCCATGCATCATACCATTCCAGTCATAAACTTGCAAGAATGGGGCCAAGTTCAGGCTTCTCTTTATCTTCAAATATACCTCCTACATTCTTAATGTTGTGCTTCCCCAAAATTCCTACAAGGAGACCAAATTACCTGCATAATGAGGTGGGGTCTTTGGGTTAGATTACCAAAAGGACAAAACCCTCATGAATGGCATTGGTGTTTCTTGAAAAGAGGCTCAGGGCATTAGTTCATCCTTTGGCCACTGAGGACACATGTATATCACCATACTATTATACTCCCAGCCTGCCAAGCTATAGGAAATGACTGCCTGTCATTTACAGATCAACCTGACTGTGGCATTTTGTTATAGCAGTTTCGAAAAGGCTGACACCATCCTAGCAGGGAGTCATCCGGTTGTGATTACAAACCTGGGCTTGCACTGGAGATGCCAGTGCTCTCTGCCTGCTTCTGTGTAGAGCATCTCTACACATCCTTTCACCAACAGAAGGTGGAAAGTCCTAGGGTATGACGTACCGCTTAGGCCAACAGCCTCTGTTCAGAGATCATACAGAAAGAAGGTGATGTTCCGAGTAGGGATGGGGGAAGGTGGGGGGGTGAGTGTAAGCGTGGGCTTCTTCTCCCTCCTTCTTCCCTCTCCTCTATTTCTCTCTGCAATGTTGAGACTCAAAACCAGAACCTTCAGCACAATCCAACAACTCTACGGTGAGCTACACCCTTCCCCACATCTCCTACATTGCCATGGATGCAGCCCACGAGTGCCTGCTACTTCATTGGTCATCTGTGTGAAAACCAAGCATTGCAATAAGCAAGCAAACAAGATGGGTAATAAGAGAAAAATCTAGCCATGGCCTGTCACTTTTACATCCCTCACCTCCTGCCCATACTCAAGCAATTGTGGCTGTGCTGGCCCCAGAAAGCGCTAGTGAGAAATTCAGCTCACAAACAGACACACACAAAATGCCACTGATCTGAATCTGACACTTAGAAGCAAAGACATGGTCCATCTGGTGTAGTTACAACTTCTCTATAGTCAAAGCGAAATTCAAGTTTGTTTACTAAGATGGTATTGCTAGAACAGAACGTTAAGTAGCCATTAAGAAACTGATTCTGGTTTGGTTGCAGCAGAAGTCATCAAATGAATCAACCTCACTCTCTAGTTTAAAGTAAAGTCCTTACTCACTTTGTTTTTAGTTTTGTTTGTTGTTTTAAGTAAGACTGTAGGCTTATCCAGAACCCAATGGGGCACCATCCTAAGATGAACTTGGGCACTGTTTTGCCAGTGTTAATTTCCATCCTAAGCCCTTGTCCTGGGCACTCAGGGATGCACTGTGTTACACAAGAACAGAGGCAATTAAGGTAATTGCTGCCTGTTCCCACCTAGATGAAGCTTCCAGATGATTTTTATTTGGGCAGTGTTCAAAGTACTATGGCTCCAAGTCAAGAGACAGCAATAAACAGGGCTTAAGCCTCCCCTGCAGATGGACTCCACTATAAATGACAATAAAGACAACAAGTAATTCTGGTTATCAAGACCCTGCCAACTACATACATAATATGTCTTTTGTTTTGTTGCTTTGAGAGAGTTATCTCATTATATAGGCTACACTGACCTTGACCTCCACTATGTAGCTCTGGCTAATCAACTCTCCATCCCCGTGCCCCAGTTGAGTGCTGACAGGCATATATGCCATCACAAGAGGGTTCCAACAAGAGATTTTAAGAAAAAAATCAATCCATACATAGCCCAGTCAATATCCAAGGTAACCACATTCATCACATAAAGAAGTCATTTAGACAAAAGTCCGTCTCTGAACTTCTTCCCATTACTCCACACTTAGCCCCAACTGCCACTGCCAAGCACTTTTAGCTTGCCGGTGTGCAAAACCGTTCCCCAACAGTCCGAGGACTTTCCCGACACCCCATACAGCTTTCCCATTTATTGAAAATGGCTTCGGGGAGGGGGGTAAGCTCCCAGTAGGCAGCTCCTTACCATCCAGTTCCTCTACAGAGATATTAGCCAACTGCTCACTGTCACTGCCTGCAGACAGAGACCGGTTGAGGTAATTCCCCTTGTACAACAAGCCAGCGGTGACATGGTGGAACGGCATCTTTTCCCTGTTGTGGAGAGGAGAGAAAGACGTTACCATTCATTCCTTCCCTTAGAGGACTGTTGCTGGTTTTCCAGGGCAAAATTACATAGCCAGGGCAGGTGTGATGGCTCGGTGGGCACAGGCAGCTGCTTCCAAGCCTGACAACCTGAGTGTGATCCCTGGGAGTCACGTGCTGAAAGGAGAGAACCAAATCCTGCAAGGTCCCTCTGACCTCCACACCACACATACACCACACACACACACACACACACACACACACACACACACACACACCACACACCACACACACCATACACACCATACACACACACCACACACACACACACCATGCCACATACACACACAAACACACTACACACATACCACACACCACATACACACACACCACACACCACACACACTACACACATACCACACACCACACCACATACACACATACATATACACACCACACCACATACACACATACACACACCACACCACATACACACATACATATACACACCACACCACATACACACATACACACACCACACCACATACACACACAAACACACTACACACATACCACACACCACACACACACAAACATACTACACACATACCACACACCACATACACACACACCACACACCACATACACATAAACACACACACACCACATACACACACACCACACACCACATACACATAAACACACACACACCACACACCACATACACACACACCACACACCACACACACCACACCACATACACACACACCACACACCACACACATACCATACACTACATACACACCACACACACACACCACACACCACACACACCACACCACACACACCACACCACATATACACACAAACACACTACACACATACCACACCACACACACACACACACACACACACACACACACACCACTAAAAGATAGAATTTAGAATATTTACAGGGTTCACATAGCCCAAACAACTCCCAAAGGATCTTGGGTGCTCCTTCATCCCAATTTAACATCTCCATTTCTCCAATTGTGTATGCATTTAAACTGTAATGCCCTTGTAAACCATGGAAAAGCATGATAGATATCAAACCACTTCCTTTTATTTTGTTTTGTTCCATGTTTCTTGTTTGTTTGTTTCACTTTTTTTTTTCAATATGGCAGAAATACCTAGACAAGCATTCTATAGTTGAGCTACATCTCTGGTCCACCAGTCTGTTTTCTCATGAGACAGAGCCCTGCTAATTTGCCCAGGCTGGCCTAAAACTCACTCTATAGCCTAGGCTGCACTTGGACTCACCGTGTAGCTTTGGCTGACCTTCGTCTTGCAGTCTTAGCTCTGAGTAGCTGTGAGTACAGACCCAAACCACCAAATTCAGCATCGCTGCTGCATCATGTAAACAAAACCACCCTTCGCTCTTCTCAAGGGCCTAAAATATTATCGCTCCATATAGGAAAACCCCGAGCATCCCAGAAATGCTGACCTATCCAGCAACAGGACATCTTGGCTACACTCATTTGAAGCTGTAAGTAGGTCACATTCCTCAGGGAAAGTGGGTGTTCCAGCCCTACAACACTCAAGGAAAGGAAGAAACATATACAACCTTTAGATTTGTTTTGTTTTGTTTTTTAATTGAGCATTTAGGGGGCTGGGAAGATGGCTCAATAGGAAAGAAACTTCTTAACTGAGCAAGTGTGAGGACCTGAGTTCAAATCCCCAGTATCCATGTGAAAATCTGAGCATACCCATGTGTGTGTGCCTGTAACTTCAGTGCTGGGGGAGGGGTTGGGGTTGGAGACAAAAGGAAAGCAGAAGCTTACTGGCTGCCACCCTGGTTCCAAGTTCAGTAAAAGACCCTGACTCAAGAGAATAAGGTAACAAATAATAGAGAAGGACACCTGGTGTCCTCCTCCAGACCCTACATGAACATGTACACCCAGAAGCATGTGTACCTTCACACACATGTGTGTATACACCACACACATACAAACCAAGAAAAAAAAAAACCTGAACTTCAACGCTGACCCCATACTCACTACATAGCCCAGGATGGTTTTGAATTACAGGGAGTCACGACCATACACTGCTCTAAGTTTTTACAGCTCTGTGCATCCAGGAGTATGCAAGTCTGAGATACAACACACACACACACACACACACACACACACACACACACACACACACACAGCCTGATTTGGGGGGGAGAGGATTACTTTCAGAAATAGCTTCCAGGCTGAGCAATGATGACACACACCTTTAATCCCAGCACTTGGAAGACAGAGACAGGTGGATCTCTGTGAGTTCAAGGCTAGCCTGATCTACAGAGCTAGTTCCAGGACAAGTTCCAAAGCTACATAGAGAAACCCTGGCTCAAAACACCAGAAATGACTTCCCATGAAGAGAAGTAACACCTCAAGATGTTCAAGAATGAAGAGATTTAGGGCAATCTCAATGAAATTAAAGCACCCTTGAGGTCAGATTCACAAGCTGCCCAGACAAAGCCTCTGCCATTATTGGGGCATAGCAGGTCTCCCAGGATGGGGAGACAGCTCAGGGGTTAGAGTATTACCTGGCCAACATGAGGAACTCAGGTTGATCCCCAGAATAAAAGCAAAAAAAAAAAAAAGCCATATGTATTGGTGCACACTACTAATCTGACCCTGGAGAGGTAGACCCCTTGAGATCTCTAGCCTGTCACTTAGTAAGTGACAGGGTACTGAGAGAGACTCTGCCTCAAAAGACAAGGCGGGTGGCTCCTGAGGTACAATGCCCAAGGTTTTCCTTTGCTGTACACACACACACACACACACACACACACACACACACACACACACACACGGGAAGTTCCCCATAGACAGGCCTACTGCAAGGTGTTTACTTGGACTGAGCAGTGGGAGGGGTAAGCTCCTCCCAGCACAGGCTGAAGGCCTTGATCCCACAGGAGAGGAATGGCTCCCCACACATCTGCTATTTTCTGGGTTAGTAACCTGCAGAGTCCTTTTTGGCGCTAAAGCCTGCCTCTGGGTCCTCTGTGCAGTGCATCCACAAGGACAACCAAACAGACAAACTCAGTGTTAGTCCCCAAGAATCACTGCCCACAGCACCCTGGCCTTGCTCATTTGAAAAGTTCAAACGAGGAGAGGCATGTGATCGGCGTGACTAAGGTATGAAGCTGGAGAATCACCAGTATGAAGCCAGCTATGCAGCCTGGGCTATATAGTGAGATGAAGACTAAGCAGAGAAGGAAGCAGAAGAAAGAGAAGGGGAAAGAAGAGGCAGAAAAGAGGAAAAGGTTAGAGATGGAAGAAGAGGAAAGAGAGGAAGAGGAAGGCAAGAAGGAAGATGAGGAAGAGGAAGAGGGAAAATGAGGGAAAAGAGGGGGAAGTAGAGGAGCGGGAGGAAGGGAGGGAAGGAAAAGATTGAAAAACAGCATCCTTCCCTGGCACATGAGCCCTGTCCAGCACCAGGGACCACTCCCCTGTCATCTTTTCCCTCTAACAGGACTAAGTGACAGACCCAGCCAGCCAGCACACATCCCTGCCCCCTCAAGTCTCAGACACTCTGCCAGCGGGGTTGCAGCCTTGGAGCTGCTGTAGAGTCAAACAATGGAATCCCTAAGAGGAAGACTTGACCAGAGCACAAAGCCACTTAGAGGGAAAAAAGAAAAATTCTGCAACACAGGCACCCAGGAATTATTTAGACTCGGCGGCCCCAGCTAAGCACCAGGCACTTCCATCCCGGATGTCAAACCCTCCTTTCAAATTCAAAATGTCTAAAAATGAATTAATCATCTCCCCACAAAATAGGTTTGCGCTTCCTGACTTCTCTATTTCTATCAGAGGTTCACTCATCACAGCAACTGGGACAGCCCTCAGCAAAGCTCTGGGCCCCAAAAAGTAAAACAGACATATGGCTGAGGCAGGAGCCAACTGTCAGTCTCCCGTCACTCTGCACGTCACTAACAAAATGCATGCCCGTAGGAAGACTGCAAATGGCAGGTCGCTGGTTGCAATCTCTGGATAAGTAGGCAGAGTTGATGCCAAGCAAGGGTGAAGATCTGAGTTCAGCCCTGAAGTGCACAGGAAAAAGCCAGGCATGGTGGGCGGCACATGCCTGCAAGTCCAAAGCTGGGAAGATGAAGCCAGGAGGAACCCTGAGGCTCGCTGCCCAAGCCTGCCTGGCTGAATCAGTAAGCGCCTGAGTAAGTGAGAGACCCTGTCTCAAGGAAGTCTGAGCTTGACTTTGAGCTTCCATATACACACATGCCTGTGCATGTAGACCCACACATTTGCACCCACACACAGGCACACCACATGTTTGCAAACACATGGAATTCAGTTGAGGAGAGGGAGGAGGGATCCTATGAACAAGGGGTATCAAGAGCATGATGGGGAAAAACCACAGAGACAGCTGACCCGAGCTAGTGGGAGCTCAGGGACTCTGGACTGGCAGCTGGGGAACCTGCATGGGACCTAACTAGGGCCTCCGAGTTATGTGGCTTGGTCTGTTGGGGGAGCTCCTGGCAGTGGAACCATGACCTATCCAGGGTGCATGAACTGGCTTTTTGGAGCCCATTCCCTATGGTGACATACCTTGCTCAGCCTTGATGGGGGGGAGGGGGCCTGGTCCTGCCTCAGCTTGGTTTGCCAGACTTTGTTGACTCCCCAAGGGAGTCCTTACCCCTTCTGAGGAGTGGATGGGGAGTGTGGAGAGGGGACAGGGAGGGAGAAGGGGAGGGAGGGGGAACTGGGGTTGGTATGTAAAATTTAAAAAACAAAATGTAAAGTTAAAAACAAAATGATCACACATAATTAGTTAAATTTAAAAATTAATGGCAGGAGGCTAATACAAGGAATATGATTTTGATAATTGTGAAGGATACATCTTCAACTAATCATGTCAGATGCCTACAAATCTAACTGTATGTATTGTAGAGTTAAAGCAGTTTTCTTCGGGTGTGACATGACCATTGGCCATCACAGAGCAGGGGCTTCTGTGATGCCTAC